GAAAGGTTTCCTATTCTGTTCATTTGGTCATTCAGTCGGTCACTTTTGTCACTCATTATCTTCTATATGAACTCATGCTTATTCAGAGATATTCATATGAACTGAACGTTTTTTTCGATAATTGATTCGGTTTAAGGTTACACAGCCATTAAGATTGTTGAACGCGTTTGGGAGTCACATCTCACCCCAACAGAAGTTGCGGCACTTGCTGATAAGGTTTGTTCCGATCACACACTTATCTCATTCTATCCAAATTCTTTTTTCGAATCCTCATTCGTTGCTATTTTTCGACTCATATTAACGACATCAGCAATGGCCATTTGCAGGCAAGTCAGAGTCGTGATCCAGGTATGGTTGAGGCAGCAGCTAAGTTAGCACTTAGCGTGCTTCCGAAAGCATATGCGCTGACGGCAGCCGAAAGTCAAAAGGCATTGCATCAGTGCAAAGAGCAAAGTTCTGAAATGCTCGAGAAGGCATGCAAAGCTGTCGAGCAAGTTGGTGATCTTGAAGTGTTATTTTGTTCGACATATCATTTTCTGAACCGATTCCTTTGAACAGTTGATCAAAATTCATTTCGAGAAGTTGAATTCATCGATTCAACATTCATTTTCAAATGTACATAACTAAATTAATCAGTTCAATTCTCAGTTCTCACAAGTATTTAAACAAACGATTGTTTCAGGCGGCTGAGAAGGATGGTGTCTATCCGGAAGTATTGTTCAAAGTTGCCCGTCATTGGTATGAGTTATTCTGTGAAAGTGAAACAACTGCTCAACAACATCAGCAACAACCAGTAACCGCAGCAAATTCCCTCACGAATACACCTCTACAATCTCAATCGCCTGTTGCACAATTCCCACCAAGTATCACTCAAACGCAATCTGGCGGTGAAACCCTACCTCCGCAATTACATCAGGTAACTACATTGATAACTATTCGAAGTGCGATCGGAAAATTGCCTCAATCTGTCCCATATCCATTTTGGTTTGATGAAATGAATGCGATATGAGTCAATTTTACGAACAATTTTCAAAAGAATCAATTTCATAATGCCATCTGAAATCATCCCACATCATTTAACTATCTGTGTTGATAAGACTATAATCTGTTTGCATGGAATCTAATCGATTGCAGCACTAGCACTGTAAGCATGTGAAAGAGTGATGTATGCTGAATGTTGTTGTTTTTAAAGGTTTTTTATCCTACGAACGGTACTATGCTGCAGATACCGCAGATGCAGTTCACTCAACTTTCGCTTGCCCAGCAACTTCCCTTCCAACAAGCATCCTATTATCGTTTTCCACCTCAACATCCCTCAGCCACTCAACATCCGTCTGCGTTGTCTCATCGATCCGCATCTCTTTTCATGCAACCGATCAACACCGCTCAACAGCAACAACAACAACAACAACAACTTATCATGCCTTATGGACCACGGTACTTCATTTACTGATTATTTTATCAAATTAACTGGTGTATGATCAAACAGATACTCGTTTTGTTCAAAATCTACAAACACGTCTAAATATACGAAGGACTACAAATAGGACTAAATCTACAAATAGGACTGAATACGTGTGTGATTTCATTCGATGCACTTGTTTGTGAGAAGAGCGATAAGTTCTATTGTGAATATAACAACAGAGGTCAGATATTGGTGTGGTGATCATTGGTTTGATTTGATGTTTGCAGTGGGCCGTTACCACCACCACCAGCAACATCGTCGTCAGCAGTAGTAGTAAGCGGAATGCATTTGAATGCATCCATGCAACTTGGGCAAACCTCGTCAGCACAACAGCAACAACAACAAACGTCAAGTGTTGGTATGATCCAATCTGGAGGTGTGGTGAATGTAAACGTTCCGGGCGCTATGTCCGCCAGATCTCTTCACGTTAGTCATTCGGCACCTAATCTTACTCCTCTGCAAGCGGTGCATATCT